GAATAGAGTTCACTGGGCAGGGGGAAACAAAGCCGACCAGTTTCTGGAAAAGAAAAGCCTGTTCCTTTAATCTATTTGAAAGCTTTTGGTACATCAAAGTTCTGGCAAGAAGAGATATCACTGATATAATTGATGTGGACACTTGTAAAGGTCTTTGTGAAAGAGCTATTCACGGGAGGCATAAAAGGGTCATGGGTTGGACAGTAGCAAGGAAACAAAAGCCCCAAAAGCAGGATAAGGCCTGGGCAACTGTCACACAGCTCTGTACCCCACCCAGCAGCACCCTCAGCACCCAAAGCCCAACTAGGGGGATGAGGATTGCCAAGGCCACCACCAAAGCCAGGGGAACAGGTCAGAGTAGCAGAAGATCCTCCCATGGACACAGCATGGGTAAGGCTGATGATTGAGAAAACCAGGCAAGTCCAGAACAGTTGTCACCTCTTGAAGAGAAAACCCAGCTAGAGCCATGGGCTTGCTAACACTGGGGGTTGCAAATACACGCTACTATCCCCCCCAAAAAAATCTAAAACAAATGAAGATATTGGATAAAGACCAGGAGAGAAAGTAGCAGGGAACTGTGTCCAAATGCTTGGATGGGAAGGAAGAGGAGGTCCTCTTCTGGCATTGCTGCCTCTCACCAACTCCCAAATGACACATCAAAAAGAGAGGAGGGGAGCGTTTCCAAGATGGGAAAGTAAAGAGAGTTAGAAATAGTCTAGCTAGATTTGAAATTATTTTAATTTCTAGACAAAGTGAGTAAAAAGCAACATAATGGCAGTACACAAAATAACGAACGGCACAAAGAAGGTACATATAAGTACTCCTATTTTCACTTTTCACATAAAAAGAGAACAAAGGGACAGTCAATAAACACAAGCAGCAGCGCACATATAAGGATAAGCAAAATACTGTTGTTCTAATATACTGTGCATAATCATCCAGGGAGCTCACTGTTCCTGCATATCACTAAAATCTCAGATGCAGAGACTTGCAAGAAAGATATAGGAACGTACCTGAAAGATCATTTGCAGTTATATTCGCTCTATGTGAGTTACATGAGTGGTGAGCAATAATATGGGCTTTAAGAGAGAAATTCTCCTAAAAACTGCAGTGAATGGGAGGGGGGCATAGATCCTCATGGCCAGATTATTCCAAAAATTTTCTTCTAAGGGATGTCTTGTTCCTTCTTCCTCTGAAGCATCTACATTGACTATCGGGAGCGATCAGTGACTGGAGCAGACAAAGAACTTCTTGTCTCCTCTGGCTTTCTCCTGCAGCAAGACCAGAGCACCTTCCCATCTGCTCTGTCCCCATGCATCACCCAGAGATGGGGTTTTTCACCCTTCCTCCCTGAAGCCACCTCACCAGTGAAGCAGGTGGCAGGGCCAGCCCAGTGTGCTGCTGCCACCAGCCTCACTCCCTGCAGGGGTCCCCTTGAAGACTCTGGGGCTACCAAGTAGCATCATCTGAAAAAGTAAAGCTGGTTCCCCAGACTGGGGTGCAACTGCCCTGAGTGGGGACTGCCTGGGGAAAGGCAACTGCTTGGGTGGGTGCTGAGTCCCAGCCTGCTTGTTCCTTCTAACCAAGGAACATTTCACATCCTCAGCCATATGTGACTGAAGGAGGTAAAAATAATCTTGTCGTCTTTTTTCTCCATTGACGTGCAGTGATATCTCCCCTATTCATTGCTGAAATGAACCAAAATTAATCTCAGTAACAATTCTGCCTGGTGATGAGAATGCTCATATTAGTGATACGCATCAGTACACCTTCCTTCAGAACTGATGTTACCTGGATAAGTATCAGTGAAGGTCAGCAATGGAGAGGTGGGGCAGGAAATTACTTGAAAGAGCATCTTGGAATTCAAATAGAGCTGACAACTGCAAACCTATGTTTGTAGAAACCTTCCTTTTCATGGCCTCCCTCAACTGAGGTAGGTCAGAAGCCCAGGCCTTTCTGCGCCCACAAAGTCAAAATATAGTGACCTTGCTTTACTCTCCCTCTCTGTGAGGTTCGTGTCCTTGCACTCAACTCAGACCACGGACCATCCTTCCCCTGACAGCCGCCCATGCCCAAAGGATGTCATCCCAGGTCCCAACCTCTACATGGCTCTGCTGCAGCACTCCCTCATGTTAGCTTTTCCCTGCCTCTCAGGCACATCTGGCATGCTCTCCCACCAAAACACACCAGTTACACAGAGTGGTTGCTGTTTTCTCCTCTCTCTGCAATCCCATTTCCTCTGCAGGAGATGGCAGACAGGGAAGACCACCTTCTGCCCATTGTCCCCAGCCCCTTTGCCAGCTGATCCCCCTCCTGCAATAACACCTTTGGTGTTCCACAGGCATCTCCTATCCCTGGAGAAGATGGCAGTCTTTCCAACACGGAGCTAATTGCATGGTATTAAGATATTAAGAGGCCTTATTTTCAGTTGTGTTTTTTTTTAAAGACTTTATTTGTCTAACATGCTTGACCAAAAATTACAACAACATTCAAGTTATGCCAAAATGATTAAATAATCTTTAAGCTTTCATACCTCAAGTACTTTAAATGATATTTTGAAGTAACAGCTGCTTTCGTATCCTTTCCACATAAAAATACACAGTATTTGGAAGATACCTTAGGAAAAATTATTTTTAAGAGAATAGTTTATGGTTGACATAGAAATTTTGCTGAGGCTAATAAAAGGACCTCTTTCCCCCACTTTAACATTTTAGTCTCTTAAGTGCCGTGAGCGAATGTAAACATTTCAGACTTTAACATACAGCCAATTTCCTGCCACATTTGTTGCAAACTGCTTGAATTGTGACTAGCTATGACACTTTTATTCTAACTTCATGCTATTGTTCATCTTACCAGTGATGGCAGGAGTTCATATTCAACTATGAATTTCAGTTCTTGCTGATTTAGGAGCTGATCCTGCAATTTCTACACCAATAGTTTTGACAAAAGTGGCCTCATCTGAATTCATGGCAGACTGCTCATGCACTTGTGAACCACTCACCCAAAAACCAGTTGCAGGTGTCACTGGTTGTTTCAGGTTTTGTTTTCAGGAAAAAGCAGAACACTAGTTTAGACACCAGGTCACTCAACTGATAACAAGAAATTACAGACCTGTGACGTCGTATTTTCTGGGGGTCTGGTGGCTTCTTGTGGGTTCACAGCATGAGTTAGTTAGTGAGCTCAAATTTGTTGGCTCCCAGCAGCAGTTGAAAGAGCTGCTGCCCATGGGAAACCAGTGCAAAGCAGTGTTTCTGCCCAGCTTGCTCAGAATTAAAGCTGACATAGCCTGGTTTTACAACACAGGTATTTTAAATTGTGTATGTGTATAATGCAGCTACATGAAGCTCACATTTGCATCCATGTATCAGGCAAACAGTAACACAGACAATTATCCGATGCACGTGTGCAGATGTGGGCTATGCACAGACCTGCAAACAGCTCTGCACTGGTAGTGTAGTGGTCTGCCCAACATGTGTGAACAAGACTAATGTCTAGATGTTATCAGCCCCAAATTCAGCATGTCCAAGTTTGGAATAGAGCAGTTAAATTGTCTCCATCAAGGCAAAAGGAGATGTTTGTTAGTTCAAGGCAGAAATACACTTCTTGCAGGGCATGCCTGAAGCCCTTTTTTTTGGTGGGTTTGTAATCAATTCTTAAGCTTCTGCCTAGGACAGGACTGAAAGCCCAGCAGCTTCAACACCTCTGCTAACCTGCAGCAGAGCCACATGGGCAGTACCATGGCAATGGACCACCCCAACCAGCTCCTGACATGTCCCCTGCTCTGCCTGGCAGCACATGCAACACAACAGATGGATTTCAACTAAGCTTGTCTTGGGCCTCTCTTAGCAGTGTCCGTGAGTGGGCAAACAGCAGTAACAGTTTCCATGAGGCGACCTCTGCTCTGTACTCACTGGTGTGTACTTGTTACTCCTCAAACTTATGCTACTACATAGCTACCCAAAAGTGAATGCCCAAATTCCACCTTGGGATGATGCCTCCCCCTTGACATCTATTATGTTCCCCGAGGACAAAATTATCACAATGACATTTAACCACTCCATACTGGGGCCAAATTCAAACCAGTAATCTCATCATTGGCTGCATGTCCCATCAACAGGTTTTAAACCAGTAGTCCCAGTGGGTTTTATTTAAAATACCATTACTGATCATTGGGCGGGCTTTTTGTCTTTTTTTTTTTTTTTTTTTACATACAATCACACACTGCCTTACCATATGAAAACACAGTTATAATTTTTCTTCTTTTTTTTAAAGGGAAATGTCATCCTTTTTTCACAGGCGAGGCCAGGTTACAAATTCCTGAGTTTATACTGCACTTAACACAGTCTCCCTTCTTGAATGTTGAGCTGTTTACAGCATGCTGGCAATATGTACCATTTCCCTTACCATCTGTAATGCCAGATGTAGTAAAACTTCATTTCAGTACAGTGAATTAGGGCCTCTATTGCATTGGTTTTGAATAGATGCAAAGACCTGGAGGACTTGGAGTAATAGCATTCCTCCTGTGACTGGTCATTTGTGCACCATCTTTTATATTTGCCATGTTAATTAAGGGAAAACATCTTTACCATCATTTTTGTTTTACCAAGAGCTCACTGGGAAACATCTGAAATGAGGAAATCCTAGTCTAAACACTTCAGTTTAAACTGCAAACTTTCTGAAAGAAACACTCCTTTGAAAGACATCGTTCTTTTAGTATGTCCAATATACGTATATACAAAAGCCCCTACTAGATATATATATATATGTATATGTATATATGTGGGATGCATTCACTTTTCTGTGTTCACAAGTATTTTAATGGTGAAATGTTAAAGTCCTTAATCTGTTTCTGGCACCAAAGTGTCTTTGTTCCTCATCCACTTTTGTTACTCAAAATTATCTGTGAAGTAGCTAGCAGGGAAAAAAGAAGGTTTTTGCTTTTTTCTTGAATGGTTCCCTATTGGGATTCTCAGCCAGCAATATAAAGTTGCTAATGTGTTGGGTACAACTTTAAATCCTCATTGTAATCATGTGTTCCTTGGAGTAGGTAAGTCAATAACTATAGGTGGATTAAGTGGCTGGTAATTCACAGTGCACACAGATGCATTCACATAGGTAGTAGTTCCATCAGCCATGACACCATAACCTACAAAGGAAGAAAAACTCTGGTTACTCTTGTTATTCATTATTATCTTCTTTTTTAATTATTCACCTTTGTCACACAATGGTAAGCACCACATATATTACTCAGAAGGAATTTGAAAATTCTCCTCATGCAAAATATAAAGGTCCCCTGAATCAATACCATCTTTGTCCTACAGCAGCACTTTTTGCCACCTTTTAAGCTGTGCAAGAAAAGCAAAACAGACCCTCACTAGCTAGTGACTATATTCTCTGGCAGCCAGCTCACCAAACCTCCTTAGAAAGATAGATCCTTCTCTCTGCAATGCTTAGGAAAGGATGAGAAGATAGAGCTTAGGCAATACAGCATTGAAAAATACATGCTTCTGATCATTTAGGTTTGCAGTCATCAGTGCAACAAACTCTGGACAATTTTAATCTTTCCATCTATTTTTTCTGTCCTGTGTTGAACATCATTTAAGCAATCAGCGAAGAAAAAGCACTGCTTGACTAAGGCAAGTGTGTGTGCATGTGCACCTGGGCAGGATTTGTCTAGTAGGAACCTCTTCTTCCCTATGTGCTTGAAGTTGTTGAATAACATCCACCAAATTTGATGGAAAGACATTAAAATGTCTGTTCAGGCAAAGAAAAAAAATGGCTTTATTAATGCATTCTCTCACAGACAAGGTGAATTCACATACTAAGACACTATATAAATTCCACAGGAGAAAACACACACCTGTGTGCCTCACCAGTGGTGAAAATGTTTCAACTACATCTCATATTTGGCTAGACACCCAAGTCAAACAATTCCAGAGCTAAAGCTGCAGAAAATCAAACTTCCAGCTCTAATGTCTGTGGAAATACAGCAAAATGCTGTTTCAGAAAGTGAAGAAGCAGCCCTTTAACTGCCCTGGTGCTGTGAAAAAGCAGATACAATCTCCATTGTCAAAAATCTTTTAATGAATGACTCGGAAAAAAACATAAGCTCGATTACATTAAAACTAAAAGCTTCATGTTGGAAACTTGCATTGAAATGTTATGATGGATATGAAGAACTGCATTCACAATCAGAAATATATGATTTGGGGGAAATCACCTGGTAGAAAGCATTTGTATTAAGATCCAATCTCACCTTTATCGAAGTTAATAGTGAAATGTATTCATTGCTACATACACTGAGGTCCAGCTATTCAAATCCTAGGTATCTAGGACCCTATGGCTTTTCTGAGTGCAGTTTTGTGACTTACAGAAACACTGAAAGTTGCATAATTTGCATACAAAGAAACAGTAGCCAAATTCCTTTATGTTTTTTTCCTTAAAATACCCTGAATAATGCAGGGCCTCCTGGACTCCCCACGGAAAAAACACACTATAATTAGGGACTAGGGAGGAAAGAAAACTCTGTCAGGTTCCTGTCACAGACATTTCTTTAAATCATTTTCTGTTTGCCACAGAACAATTGTTCTGTGTAAAACACAAAATGCACGGAGGACAGTCAGCACTGCTGCTGGGACTTTCTGTCTCCTCGGCTACACATTTGGAGAGAACAGAATCAGTTTCCTAATATACTCTTTTTGCTGGAAGATTCCTAATGCTATAGCTTTCACTCCTGTCCTCCTGCCAACGGAGTTTCCTTGGCCATGACCTCAGCCAAGTACTGGCTGTAATGGGAAAACCAGGATTTTAGCCAGAGCCCCTGATATGGTCCTTGCTGCTTCCATGGGTCGATCAGCAGCAAGCCCATGTACAGAGGTACTTTTTTGGCAGACATAGCAGTGCAGGGGGGAATAGGGAAGAAACAACTCTTATAAGCATCTCTTTCCCCCAGATGTTCAGTAAATGACTGCTGCAGATGTAGCTATGCTCACTCAGAGGAAGAACTCATCTGTTCAAATCATGCATTCTCTCTACAAAGTGCAGCTTCGTTTGCACAGGCTGTCTGCAATGGGAATTCTCCTCTGCAGAGATTTAGCATCCCACTGAAAAACAGGCTATGCAGTTCCCCATTTGTTTTCTCTAAATTATGATAGTTAACCAGAAGAGAACCTTGTTTCTGTTTGGATACCTACTGTGCCAACTGTATTAATTCACAGGATTTACTATTCTATGGAGGTACCATTCTCTTCCCTTGAGAGCCAAAGTTGGGCTTGGTTTTTACAGATGTGATTTTGTTTACCTGCCTGAAGCTTCGTGGCTTGCTAGCTGTTTGCTTATATCCCCTGCAACCCACATGGCTTACAATCACTGAAATGACAATGAATTTGAACTGTGTTCACCAGCTCTCTTGGTCAGAGTACCAAAGACTACTCTAACAGCATTCTTGGTTTACTCTGTGATTTAACAGCACTTTGGACATTAACTAGGCATTAACAGGTCAGCACTGATGAGACACACGAGGAGAATGGACCTAATCCCTGAGCTGTAAAATAGTGATCTGAATGTCTTCCCCATCACTTTTACACCAGCATATCTCTCAGCAATGTCACTTCTAATGCACCATGGTGAAAGCCCCAGCAGCATGTCAGAATGGGATTTCCTGGGGAGGGCAATGGTTCTCCAGGTATCTGAATGACAGCTACTTCAGTTTTTCCAGTTCTACACTGGTGAGACCCACAGAGATACTACATAAAAGGCAGGAGCAGTCCCAGAAGCAGAAAACTGGCAGTTGTGGAGTACCTCTTCCTGCCACTAAGTTAACACTGGCAAGGTCTAAGCAGCAGATAATACATGTTTACATGCCAGTGGGTTCACTTCTGCACAGCCCAATGGTTTCTTCTGGTGGAGGCACTGCTTGAAGTCTTGCTGCCATGACACGAGAACAGAGCAGACTTCTCTACATCAGACAGCATGTACCTTCCCTTTGCATGGAGATGAGCCCCACTGACTCCAGTGGAGCATATTTGACACTATTTACTGAGCTATGTGAAGGGAACTAATTTTTTTTCTAGTTAAAAATCAAATAGTCAAGAGAACTGCTTTGTTTTGTCTGGGCACAAAATGCTTCCTCTGCCAAAGCAAATAAATACATCAGTATCTTGGAACTTCTACACAAGTCACTGGTGACATTTCTTTTGATTTCAACTTCATACATGCACTGATGGGGAGAGACAACTTTTATTGTACAATCCTGAGATTAAACCTTAGAAGCACCTCTCAAAGAATTCCTACCCATTTACAAACACAGAAACTGAGACACAGAGAGCTTATGTGAATTATCTGAAACCACAGATTCAGCTGAGGAAAATACAATCCATCAATCCTAATATTTAGTCACTTTCTGTAACTATTGGACTTGTGGTCTTATTTTAAAATTCATAGTAATCCTCTCTGTGAAGGAGACATCATCCTGTTTTATAGATGTATAAACTGAAAGAGAAGCTGAAGTACAAATATTGAAATGTGGGTCTACATCAACTCTATATATGCAGCTAAATAAGTATCTGAATTCTAAAAGTGCTTGGGTTCAGACATTCACATTTGAAAATGCTAGTTAAATTTTCTGTGTTTGTGGTTTCTAAATAGATATAGAAAGAAATGTGTGCTGACCTTCATGGATATGTCCAAAAACATGAAGCCTTGGCTGTATTCGTCTCTGGACTGTGTTCAGCAGCTCAACACATCCTACCCGTTGCATTTTCTTAGGAACCCAGTCTAGAAAACCTTTGGAAGAGAAAGGAAAGCTTTAAAAGAAGATAGATAATCTGCAATTTTGTACTCTTACACAGCATTTCTGAGATTTCATGTCTCATGGCTTTTCATAAGTAGCCACAGAATTGACATGGAAGAAACCGAGTCTGCCTTGGTAAGTAGAAGAGGAAGGAAGGAAAAATACTCGAGAAAAACCATAAAAGCACATTTGGATAAAAAGGACTATGATAACTCTTTCCAGGTGTTTTTCAAGGAAAAAAAATCACTTTAATTAGAGCATTTTTTACACTTCTGTTAATAGGAAAGCTCAATTTTTCTTCGTTGAAGAGGGTGAGGTATAAAGAGCAGTGAGTCCAAAGTGAATCTCTGAAGAATCTAAATGACCATTTAGCTATTTAAATCCAGACCTGGGATCTACTTTTCAAAACTGAACACTTTAACTGATGTAATGGAATCTGCATTGACAATAATAAGATGATATTGTTGTGGCATTGAATCCTACAGTAGTGGAATTCAGGTGAGGAACCTACTGCATGCCCAAAAAATAACATCAAGTAAAATGGGTTTGAGCAATTCATGACACAGCAAACCCCACTAGCCTCAATTTATATACCTCAGATAGGAAGAGAAACTCAGGCCTTTTGCAGTAGATGTATTTAAGTGCTATATTTCTTGCACAAAGTTTGTACAAAATTGCATTTCTTAGGAATACAGGCAAAAATGTTACATCAACTTGCCTCTATGTCTCAAAATCCTGCAGGGAGATGTAACTGACAACTGAAGTCTCGTGTTTCCTTCAAAGTAGTACTATAAGAAGGATGTTGATTAGAGGGTTCACAATAACCAATCTGTTTTCTTTCTATTGTTCTGTCATTTTCATCAGGCTCAAATTTGGAAATGCAAAAGATAAAATCTTTCTAATTTTATTGTTCTGGTATTTTCCCTGTGTGCCTGTCATAGCTTTGTGTCTCTTGGATTGCTGCAGTAGTGTGAATATATTGTGCCTTTAGCCAGAGAGGTAGAGTCTGGACCTAGTTTTCATACATTTACTTTTGATGTCCACTCAAGCATGGCTAAGCAGCTAACCAACTGGCTTAAAAGACCAGAACTGTGGTATTCAAGCTCTTGGAAAAGCTCTCAGATTTGCTAGAGCTTCAGGGTAGGTTCACACATTGAGAAATACCTCTTTAGCTGCCAGTGCTTGAAAACTGGGCTCAGTATACTGTGAGGTTTTATGAAAATGGCAGAAATTTGCCCTTGTATGATAGTTACTCAGAGAGCTAAGGCAAATTTTCAGAAACAAGTTGGGAATGTGGCATCCTAAGTGTTAGAAAGAGGAAGTTCTGATCATGGCCAAAGACTCCTAATTCATTCAGATGCATCTGAAGATGCTGCTTGGCTCCTATCAGGGGGATGTACAAAGACAAAGCCCTGCTGAATTCCAGACAGAGCAGAGGAATGCTCAGTTCTGCTAACTGAGTTTACCAGTCACTCGTGGCATCAAATGCAGCTCAAAATTCACTGTAGAAAATAATAAGTATATAAGAAGTCACAATGAGGCCAGCAACTCCTCTAGAATCCAGTCATGGCTTTTTTCCCCCAAGTAAACCTGTTATAACCATAGGTTTTGTTACTACAATGATTTGAAATAGTTAATTGTCAAAATGTCTGTGGTGAACATAAAGCCAAAAGTATTTCCACTTCAAAAACTTCACAAACAAAAATCCATAAAATTAACTTCTCCATTAAATTAAGCATTATTTATGTTGAACATGTTTTTGTTTACATGCATTATCACCCTTCTGAAGCCTTCCCATATGTTTGCAGCTTATTATGTACACCTGACTACACAAACTAAGAATAATTGATTACACCTAGCTAACAATTAGAGTTCATCTTAGGGTTTTTTTAATGTTTGGTTACTTGAAACAGGTTTCTGCAGCTGTCAGGAAAGTATAAATCTTTGTCATAGACAATCAAGCAGACAGCTGCAAATAAAGACTTAAAGGTGAAATTAAATTAAAAACAAACAAAAGAAAAGTGAACTTTTGGAAGAGAAATAAAAGAATCATAAATGCAGAGCTTTAGGAATCAGCAAAAATACTTTATAAGGTATATTATACAAAAAAGTAACAAAAAATGCTGATATGGAAATGAGCATTAGCTCATAGTCATATATTTCATAAGCTATGAAATATATGGCATATCTTTATTAATAATAAACAGGTTACTAATAAAATTGTCAATAATATGTGATTTAACCTTTGTTTTCTCATCCTGTGTGAACCTCCTGTGTATCCCTGCCCTGGTTTCATTCCAAAGCACTACTCTAAAACAGAAGAGAAAAATTACTTGAATTTTTGTTACATGGCTAACTGAGAAACACAAACTCTTAATGGTGATTCTGCATCTAAATCGTGCAATTTTAAATCTATATAATAATGTAGTATTAATTAGTTTAGGGGGATGCACACTCTTTTGAAGCGAGGGAATGAGAAAGCAGCACAGAAAAAGGATGATGGACAGAATTTAGGCAGCCATGCTGGAGAAAAAGAGGAATTTGCAAGAGGACTGATTGCTATTTATGATCATTAGGAACAGCTCTAGTGATGCTGTCCAAGATCAGAACAACAGTAATCAGCTTTCTGGTTAAAATAATTGGCTGGGAGGGTCAAGGAGGATCCTGTCTCCCAAAATGTCTGTGGACAGAGCTACACAATAAAGAGGTTCAGTATGTTAGGCAGAGTGCTAATTTCTTTTGAAGTGTCATATATTTGTTGCCATGGGTGTCAGGGAGACCAACAGCTGATGCCCTCAGGCAGAGGGTTCTGTGCCTCAGCCATCTATTAATGCATCAATAAAAGAGAGACAAAGAAATGGGAACTTTTAAAAAAGAAAATCCTTGGTTGAAGATTAAGAATTTCTTTAAAAGACAACAAATACTGAGCCATGGAGAAGGGGAGAATTCCTGTTATCCCATTACAGTCAGTGGGATGGGGGGCTCTTCCTCAGAATTATTACAATTATTAAATTACTTTCAATTATTACATTTACCATTAAATTTATTATTAAAGCAAGTCTGTTGAGTGCCAGCTCTGCAGTGCTCTTTAGAGATTCTTATCCCTCTGCTGATCCCAGAGGCTACTGGAATGGCCTGGTGGCTAAATCAGCAAGCTGGTAGAAGCTGGGTAGTGTGAACCCCTCTCTCCACTTGCCAACACTGGGTTTCAAGCGACTCTTTGGATCAGCTGAAGGTTGGATTATTTTACAGCTCATCAGCTGGTTTTAAAAACAGTTTTGTAAGTGGTGAAAAAGCCTCTGAAAATGTTTTAAATATGATTTCTATATAAAACTACATCGAAGTCCCAGCATCATGCCTCGGATCCTAACAGGGATTATCCTCCGTGCTAACCATTTGGAGCTGATATCTCAAGGTCTAAACAGTTAATTTCTGACATCCACAATTACAATACAGGTTCATATGAAAATTACTCCATGGCATGGCATGAGACTCCACTTAGGTGAAGTATGAAAACACATGCCCCTACTGTGAGAAACTGTGCTCACAAAGAAGTACTTTCCCCCAGGATTAGCGAGCAGTGGAATGCAAACATGTCTTTCTAAAGAAAACAAAACACAGACCCTTTGGATACTTTCTCCTCCAAGCTCTGAAAGAGGAGAAGAAAGGGTGGAAGACAAGAGGGGTTTAGCTTCAGGAAATTGGGGAATCTAAAGGTTTAAAGAAACCAACTGCCTTCATTTCACACAAAGCACAGTAAGCCACAGCAGAACATTTAAGCACATGCTCCGTGTTCGTGTCCATTTATTAAATTAGTGAGTTAAACACACAGTCACATTAAATACATTGAAAAACAGCTTAAAAGCCTTAAGCCTCTACTGAATTTGGACAAGTTTTTGTGATTGCATAATTTCTGTAACAAAGGTAATTTCATTATTTTCTAGGAATGCAAGAAATCTCTCATTGCTTTTATATCAGCTATATTAATATTTGCAAAACACATGCAAAACTATTTCTTTTTGATCTGTTCATGATGCCAGATTGTATTACAGGTAAGCAATTCACCTGTGCTGTCCAAAGAACAGGCAAACAATGGCAGCATTTGGGTTTGTGAGACAGAAGATGCACCAAGTCAGCATGATCAGGAAAAATACAAATTCTGGGCACTTGTCGGTGTGTGAATGCTACTGCAAGTCGGGGAGAAAGTGATAAAAAATAAGATCTTAATCCTGCATTTCTCTTCAAGCAGGCTCCATGCTTTCAATCTGGTAATTTCGTCAGTGGCAGATTAGACAGGTGCATAGGGAAACTAGACCTTGCTTATTTATAAAGCTCATTAAGCCTTTATGTGTTAACGTTTTATTTTTTAGGCCATTATTTAATTCCAAGCGATTGAGTACAGGTACCATAGGTAATCATGAGCTGAAGACCTGGTGCTGCTGAAACCAGTATGCATGTTACTTTTGTAATTCAGGATTGCACTCTTTTTCTAAGGAGAGCCATTAGTTACTGCATAATCATCCAAAATACACAGCTAAGAGCACTAGTATTTTCTTACCGAGAGGTGGTCCATGTGTTATAAGAATATCTATTCCATCTGGAATAAGGTTCCATTTCTCTAATAGTGCTTGGCCTCGTGGAAGATTAAAGCCCCAGCCATAAAACCAAGGTTGCCTGCCAAGAGAGGAGGAGAATGTCTTCAGTGCTACTTCCATGTACTGGTTATCTAATTAAAATACTGAGACTGACTCCATACTAGCACAGAATTTGGAGACACAAACAGCATTCATTTTCTTCTTTGTGTGCACAGTAAACCCCTCTTTCCATACAACCAGTGTTATTTAACTTGTGTGGCAAATCAGTGCAGTCCTTACTGCTTTCAGTAGACAGCATGCAGTAAAATATTCACCATATTCCTCCAACTATGTGAAAAGCAATTCTTAAAAGACCTGGATACCAAGATCTCCATGTGTGGATTATCATGCTGACTCTCACAACATTCAGAACACCTGTCTCAGACACCTACACATGAGTATGTTTCACATTGGCTCCCATTGCATTTGGCCCTTCGCCTATGACCAGCTGGGCAAGGACAGACTCTGGCACAATGACAGATCCCTCTCCAAAGTCAGAGACATCATCTATGCTGCTTTGTTTCTCTAATTGGATGCATCCCATCAGAACAAGAGTGCTGCTGCTTCTCTTACACATAAATTTCTTCTGTCCTCTGGTGTGTTGACTTGCTTTTAAGTAAGACTTTCCATATTCAGGATTTCTTATCAGACTGGCATTTACATTTTGTATAACATATTTATGGAGAAGCTCATCATGGAGCAGTGGGACTGTAACACTGCCAGTCAGAACACAATTTATCTGTATCTTGCTATCCCGTTGATTAAAAAACTGCATTTCACAGCATTTGTATCACAATGTTAAATTATGTCTTGCTGACTAGGCTTCAATTCTAGGTCATAAAATTGAGGGGTTAGTTTTAGGTTTGAATTTTTTATAATTTTTGGAATGGCATCTTCTGGCCATACCCATATTGGAAGAACAAACAAACTGCTTTTCTCCCACAGACAAAAAGAGCCTCAACTATGGATGACTGAAAGGCTTTCTGTGTCCACAGCTAAGAGCTCATCTAGTTCTTCACCACATGCCCTGGATAACCAGGGTCTGGAGAAACAGGTTTCTCAGGAAAAAAAAAAGAAGGTGAAACTTTGTACATCTGCCACTGGGACCAGAAATACATCCCAGCCTCCAGAAGCTGTGATGAGGGAGGTGAAGAAGGTGTGTGAAGAAGAGATGCTAACAGCACTAGCAATGAAGCAGAAACTTTTTTTATGAGTCACATTGCTCAGACCAAGGCAGCTGGCTAAGGAAAGGATATATCCCTCTATCAGAGATACAAAAATCACACTTCTCTGGTTACCTGTTCAACTTCTGGCAGCCTTTCCTCATAGGAGGAACAGCACCTGCCTCACAAGTATATATATGACTTCTCACCTTTCTGCTGCTGGGGTGGTAAGTCATGGTCTAGATAGGAAGCTCAGGGGAGACCTTTTCCCTCCAGGATTTCCTGAAAGGAGGTTGTAGTGAGGTGAAGAGCAATCTCTTCTCCTAGATTTCAAGTGATACAACAAGAGGAAATGACCTCGAGTTGTGCCAGGGGAAGTTTAGATTGGATATTAAGGAAAAGTTCCTCAGTGATAGGTCAAGCCCTGGAACAGGATGCTCAGGCAGTGTCTGAGCTACCATCCCTGGAAGTATTTTAAAGATGTGTAGATGTGGCACTTAGGGACATGCTATAGGGGTGTTAGGTTTATAGCTGGACTCAGTGACCTTAAAGGTCTTTTCCAGCCTAAATGATTCTGGGATTCTAGTAACTGGCTTATTCTGCAGTAAACAACCAGTGATGCTACTGCGTAACACAGTCACACAGAACCAAATCCCAGTGTGTGGAGCTTGATCAGCCCATCTTTACATTCAGCTCATCACTGACAGAATGGGAGTATTTTTATTGCATAGGAATGCCCTGAAAATAAATAAACTGAAGTTTGTGAGGTGCTTAGATATTACAGAAGTGGGAGGCTTTATAAAAACATACAGTGGTTAGGCTTTTTCTAAGCTCTCCACCCGTTCCTGCCTTGGGATTGCATTCCACACCTCATATGCCAAGTATCTTTCTTCACCAAGATGAAAATACTCAACTGTTTGGCAAATTGTCTGTAGGCCCAGAGCATGTTTTCCAGGAGCAAAATCTCACTGACAGAAAATATATGCAAGACCAAAGAGGAGGCAAAAGAAGTGTCAGCATAGTAAATCATGTTTCAAAGCCACTGACAGTTTCAGTGAATACATGTTTTTGCTCCCACCCATCGCGTGCCCTGGTGCTGCTGGGCATGGATGGGATCATTCCCAGGTCCTCAGTGGGCAGCAACCCTGCAGGTGTGCCAGGCAGAGCAGAACCAGCCACAGCCACTCCATGCCCCAGGAAAGAAACCGAGGGCAAAGATCAATATTTGCCCAAGAAGAAAAGGTCAAAAAACTATGGAATAATTATTTTAAGGACACAATGAAGCATTTATAAAGAGAAATAATCGTCGCTGTTACACAGCAGAAGT